TAAAGCGTTTGCTCGTCACGCCGAAGGCCGGGTTCGATTCCCCCACATGGGTACAATGTGTGAAGTCCATTTCTGATGTCCCCGCCGTATAATATTGCTTGAATATTGCTAAAAGCGGCGTAAAGCCATACTCACTCAATACGTTAGTTAAGATATGGACAAGCATTTCCAGCTCTCACGCAATACCATTTTCCATGGAGTTATGGAACAACTGGGTTTTGAAACCATAGACACGAGGAATGATACACCACATAAAGCCATCGCCAGGTAGGGACCTGTTCAACACTGCAGTTGGACATCATGGACATAATGTGTCAAAAGGACTGATTTTAGATGCTTTCGGGAAGATTTCTAATACTTGAACATGAGAAAATATTTGACCCAAGCCGAATTCCTCAGATACACGTAATTACAAGACCTAAGAATGTGTTAAACTGTCTTCTTGGGATTAAGAATTACTTGTGGTTAGATGATGTATTGAAGTTCTAAAATCTGCCTTTTGCATTCATTCTTGATCATGTCACAGCTTCAAGACTTGTACAGAAAGGGACACATGCATGAACAGGTCCTGTCAAACTTGTCTCTTACGAGGTCCCAGATTGCCACTGTCAAACCTCGTCCTTTCCTTCTGCGTCGCTTGTTGGGGTGGCGAAGTGCGATCGTGATGTGTTCACATATCTCTTCAGAATCCCATATGCAGTGTGCTCACCACACTGAAGCCTTTCACAGCACTGCAACGGAGCTATGGCGGAAGATTCTGTTCGAGTCGAACCCGGGGAGACTGATGTTCCTACCCCCATCAGCACCAACCACCAACAACCCCACCCTGGGAGGGTCTTCCCGATGCTCTCCCGGGTGACCCGGGACGGCCAATCAGGGGGCACTTCTTCCGGTACGTCATCAGTCGTCCGCGGTTTACAACGTCCTCCAAGTGACCAACCCTACTTTCTCCCGTGGACGACGTGTCAACGTCATGGGCCACAGAATACGGCAACCCCAGTAGCAACAACCACAGAAATATCATCAAATCATGTGACTTCTTACAACGCACTGGACACCAGGTTGTAATACTGAAGTATTTGGCGGACGCAGCATGGCGGACGTCATGACAAGGAAGAGCATGACCCAGAAACAACGTGACAATAAGAGAATCCTCAAACAGTCTCTAGCAGCTTTGGGCTATCTCCATGGTAACAACATCGTCCACAGAGACATAGAAACAGCCAACATCATCATCGGACAATCCATGAAAAACATTATTAGAAGATTGAAAATGTTGTTTCAGCATTATAGGTATTTGGGTTAGTTTAAGAAATATATTTACCAGGATTTTTTGGTTTAACCCAGACCATATCTCTTAATTCTAAAACTGTCAGGAATGGGCGTTTGCCGACTCTGGTTAAACGTGTCCATATTCTAATATTTAAGTCGCTGTATATAGATATCAATGTCTACATTATAGCATAACATTGTTGATGAGTATCGTATGTTACAATATAGTTATATAACTTCATTCCGTGTTTTATTTTCCTTTCACGAGTTGTAGGGAGGGATTGTAAACGTCCAAGACATACCTCGGCTTACCTCGAACATCAAGCTGTGTAAGCTACTGTATGACTGTTCAAAGCAGGGTTCAAACTGACATTTACCCACTCTAAGACTCAAAGTCCTCCCTTCCGGTACAGCACACCGAGCGGTTCTATTGTATATTTCTAGTTAAAATAACAGTAACGAAATATTCTTTTTCAAATTCTTTTATTCACATATCAATAATAACCATTAACAATAATGACAACAAATAGCACGCGCCTTCAAGGCTTCAATATCACTCTCCAATACAAGTGTACACATCGACAAGTGTATAAAGTCCTCTACACAGCAGTAACAACGACCGATTTCTTCCGGGGAACACGGACAGGGGAGGACATGGACGAATCCAATATGGCGACCATCTTCTTTCTCAGTTCTTCGTACCTTTGCACAAGCAAACGATCCTTCTGTCGGAGTGTCACAGTCTTCTGTTTCAAGATGGCCCCAGTCTTCTGGGCACTTGTCATCTTGGCTTTCCTCTTCGCGGCCTTGCAATTGTTGGCCAACACCCTCTTCCTGACGATCTCCAGTCTGGGGCTGGAGTACACGGGGATGTCCACATACAGATCCTGTTCCAACCTCCTCAGCATCTCACATCGACATTTACTGCTTGCCCTTCTGACTGGAGTGCGCCCGATGGTCTTGGCGTTCTTGGTAGGGGCGGCTGTTGAATAGGAATTGAACGCTTGAATCTTGGCACGAACTGGTGTGAACATATACTCCATTGTCAGATATTTTGGTGACACAAGAATTGAAATGAGAAAAGTATCTCGCTAAGTTTGATTTGGCTACTGTGGCAGGCGTCAGGCAGTGAATACAATTCTGTCATCACTTGCCGGTTATATATGCAGGCATAGTCACTCAGTGTCACAACTGAGGCTTCTTGATTGATGAGTTCCTTTCATCTCTGAGCGCGCTCAGCACATGTTTTGAGAGTCCGTAGGTGTCTTTTGAGGTGTGATTGTCATGTATGAGTGAAGCCCGTCATGTGCTACTCAAACAGTCAGAACACGACTTTAGTTCAAGCCGCGTTGTTTGTATAGCATGAATGTTTGTTTAATATCCAGACAATCTAATTTTGCATTTTGTTATTGTGTTGGGTAAGTGATCAAATCAGACCCATCAAGTATATTTGTAGTTTACAATTTTTATTTTCGCCAGGGCATTGCTTGTGTGCCATTTAATAGCATACGAAATGTGTTATAGTCAGGTCGTTACATAAAATTGCTGATATATAATTAAATGTGGAACGAAATACATAGTTGTACCACAACATTTCTTGTCTACTATATAAAGGGATATGACTTGGATTCAATCCTCCCCAATCCCATCGGCATCTATTCCAAATCTCAAAATTCCCAAATTCTATATAAGCAACCCCTAAAACCCCCCTCTTGGGTTGCACAGACCACCTTCGCCCCTTTCGGAAACACATTAAATGGCCTGGCCGGGCCCGTGTGCGAAATACGCATCAGTCGGAAAGCGCACGTTAAATCTCCAAAGTAAGTAAGTAAGTAAGTAAGGATTCAGTATTATGTGGCAATGCTACAACATCTACTGATACTAACCTTGCTATTGTACAATCTGTCCATTTGTTCATTGCAAAATCTAAATATGTCTTCCTAACGATTACATCGATCAAATGGTTGTTTGTATGTGTGATATGCTGTTTGTTTATGTACCGATATATGTATGTGTGGTATGCTGTTTGTATGTGTGATATGCTGGTATGCTGTTTGTTTATGTACCGATATATGTATGTGTGATATGCTGGTATGCTGTTTGTTTATGTACCGATATATGTATGTGTGGTATGCTGTTTGTATGTGTGATATGCTGGCATGCTGTTTGTTTATGTACCGATATATGTATGTGTGATATGCTGGTATGCTGTTTGTTTATGTACCGATATATGTATGTGTGGTATGCTGGTATGCTGTTTGTATGTGTGATATGCTGGTATGCTGTTTGTTTATGTACCGATATATGTATGTGTGATATGCTGGTATGCTGTTTGTATGTGTGGTATGCTGTTTGTTTATGTACCGATATATGTATGTGTGATATGCTGGTATGCTGTTTGTTTATGTACCGATATATGTATGTGTGATATGCTGGTATGCTGTTTGTATGTGTGATATGCTGGTATGCTGTTTGTTTATGTACCGATATATGTATGTGTGATATGCTGGTATGCTGTTTGTATGTGTGATATGCTGGTATGCTGTTTGTTTATGTACCGATATATGTATGTGTGATATGCTGGTATGCTGTTTGTTTATGTACCGATATATGTATGTGTGATATGCTGGTATGCTGTTTGTATGTGTGATATGCTGGTATTCTGTGTGTTTATGTACCGATATATGTATGTGTGATATGCTGGTATGCTGTTTGTGTATGTACCGATATATGTATGTGTGATATGCTGGTATGCTGTTTGTTTATGTACCGATATATGTATGTGTGATATGCTGGTATGCTGTTTGTATGTGTGATATGCTGGTATGCTGTGTGTTTATGTACCGATATATGTATGTGTGATATGCTGGTATGCTGTTTGTTTATGTACCGATATATGTATGTGTGATATGCTGGTATGCTGTTTGTTTATGTACCGATATATGTATGTGTGGTATGCTGTTTGTTTATGTACCGATATATGTATGTGTGGTATGCTGGTATGCTGTTTGTTTATGTACCGATATATGTATGTGTGTATTTGTGTGTGACTTGCAGAGCTACAGATAAGCAGCGTGTTTGCGAAATGAAAAACTCAAATGCATTAAAACAGCACGCGTAAATTCCCAATAAAGCTTTTTCAGCATGCGTACAAAGGAGCTAATTTCCGAAACACAATTACGAGCTAATTTACTTTCCGAGTCAAGCCTATATATTTACAACAGTTATGTACATCTAAAACATTATTTCATTATTTTTAATCTTAAAATGTTCACTAATTTAGGGGAAAACCCAATAGAATGATGAATAGATGAGTGAAAAAATATTGGTTATCCAATGAAAAATGTAATAACCCAATTAAAATAGAAACCGAAGGGTAAAAACTCAATTGATCAAAATGTTATCTGGAGCTCTGGACTTGTATATTTGCAGCATAATATTTGCAATAGTAGGTACAATTTATCTGAATTTATAATTTGATGTACAGTTTACTCTCATTGATTGTTAAATGTCCTTTGTAGGGAGAGGTGTTTAAATAGGTTGAACCTGTTCACCAATCCCATTCCTTTTTCTTGGAAATAAATATTGTTTAAATCAGCATTTCTTTCCGTTCTGGTACTTGTATAATTTGTGATCTATGCTTGGCTGCCGACTTGAAAAGACCGACTTCAGCTTTCTTTTGTGGTATGTCACAACATTTGACCAGAGTATCGTCCCTTTGATTTTTAGTTATCTACTCCTTATTTACGCCACCTGCATGTCAAAATGGTGAAATATAGGATCCTGATGAGTTGTGTGATCTAATGTCTGCAGATCAGAGGTTTTTTGCAAGGTATTGTGCCACGTATAATGATGCGTCAATTCATAATTTCGGATTAAAGTTAGAGATGATAATCATTGTTTAGGTTCAAATAATTGCCATTATTGCTGAGACGTTGCCCCTGAGTGTGTGGGCAGTCACTCTTTACACAGCCTGTGTTACTTCCACGACAGTTCTGTCTTCATTCGTTTCATAATCGTCATTCCGATCAATCCATAATTCAGATAAACGTGCTTAAATAATTTTTCATAGCGTGAAATTATCTGAGACTTGTAAACATTTTGGGCGAAAGCAGACGAGGCGACTGTCCATACAAATTTATAAATCTTTCAAAATAGTAATTGGTATACCGTTCTCCAGGTACAGCGCTGTTGCATGTTTTCAATGTTTTGATATTTCAGTGACTGATATAGATTGACTTACAGCATTTATACAGTACAGCGAGCCATAGACCATATACCGATATATGGGTATATGGTCTCTGAATGGGCATTTGAAAACATTTCCCGTTTCAGGCATATCTTGTATTTCAAGACGCAAGCATTTTGATATGAATGATGAAATAAACCAGATTACAAAAAAACATTGTAGGGTCTACCTTCAAGTTGTTAATACCTAACGCCCATGTCAGAAAGTACGAAGGGTCTACATACAGCATGTCGGTTTAGGAACATTAAATTTATTTAGAGAATTGTTGATATTGTCAAGCAGAATACGTCGGTGACATAACAATTATAATGCCTGTCTGTATTTATTCTTAATGATATTGGTGATGGGGTGAGGTGAAATGGGGTATAACATCGTGTCCAAGATTATTGCACTTGTATAGTGACTTGCATGCATGTGTGTGTGTGTGGCTGCAACCTCGAGGTATCGCGGTGCTTGTCATGTACGCTAAACGGAACAAAATGCACTCACTAACCTTTATGTTTATTCGTGTTCTCTGTATCAGATATCATTCATGTTATCAAACAATACATATTTTACTGATAAAAGTTCATTATTTACATTTATAGTTCCGAGTAAAAGCCGGGCCTCGCGCTTTGTTTGACAAGGGAGAGAACTCCATCGTATCGCGGTACAGAGAAAAGTTGTGTATGGAGGTCCGAATTGGACAAAAAGAGGACATAATTCTACCAACCACTTGGTATGATCATGCCAGACATCAGTGATTTGTCCAGACAAGTGCAAAGACAGCACAAGTAAAATTCTAAATGTGTTATCAGCAATAGGTATTCAATGCATATTTACCGAAAAGTAAGAGAAAAATATTTTTATAAGTCAACATCAAAATATCAGAAATGATATTTTAAGATTGTTTAAAAAAAATTGGATGACAATAATTTGTCACAAAATGGAAAAATGTTAAAAGTCAACAATAAATATGTAAAAAGCACTCCTAGTATGCCCAAAGTATGTATTTATCTTTTGGTTACTAGTGAAGAACGTATTTCTAAGTTTGTCATTATGGCCCTTATGATCTCCCAATAGATTCTGGGCACAGAGCGGGAAAAAATGTGCGAACTACGTAACTTCCGTTACCTCATTAGTCGCCATGAATATGCAGATGATCTAGTTCAGGTTGATAGAGAAAGTTTCCTTGGGGAACTGCGGGTTATATCGTTGGCCATTGATAGATGGGGGTAAGGCAATATTACAACTGATGCCAGAAATATGTATCAACTCCTTACTTACAGCAGACGGAACATTCCGAGGAAATTGAAATTGTTTACGAAGTGAGCACTTCCTGGTTACTGATTTGCATTAATAGACAGCCGCTAAGAGGCGTGTCCCGCGTGAACTATCGGAAATAAAAAATGCCGCGAGACGATGAATGCCGCGGTACCATAGGGTCCGAGTATACCAGTCAGGACTGATACCTATTTATAGTGCTAGCCCACTGAGATACCATGCCGCAGTTTAACATGAATACCCAACTCAGACGCAGTATACTGACTCTGAGCCGACCAGTCTTTGTTTTAGCCCCTTTATGCTGAGTGCCAGACATGGTAACAATCTACCATCTTTAACGTCTTTTGATATGACACGGTCGGGGATTGAACCCCGGACCTTCCACTCTAACGGCGGAAGCTCTACCACTAGGCTGTGGAGGCGGTGGTGATGAGGAGGAGGAGGATGCAAGACAGCATCAATAGTAGTAGCTTACAATGCAAGGCTTGCCTCTTGAGGTATTGGGATGGATAAATGGTTGAAAAGTGGATCTAAATTGGGTGTCAGTCTTTATTTCTTTTGGTCATTGAGTCTGCAAGGTACTACAATGAAAGAAAGTAGCAATTTTATAATTGCATCATAAATTATTTCAGATCTGGTATCTTCATGTCTATGAAAACTGTATTCAAGTCATCTTATGAATATAATAGTGACCATGCATAGTAGAAACATGTAGTATAGTTCCAGTACAATAACAAGGTCAGTGTATCTATGTAAGGATAATTCTCTGAGTTAGTTGTGACAGATTATGTGGTTTGTCATGTTGAATATCAGAAGAAGTGGATACTTTTAAATCTAGAAATAAAACAAAACTTCTTTAATAATTGCCATAAAAATTTAATAGAGATTAGATGATATTAGGTTACAATGTTGGATAAGCATAGAGCAAAATCTTCCAACATGTCCAAAGGGACCATATATATTTTGAACATATTTATTTCACAGAATGTGTGAAGCTGGATTGGTAAACAAGTAAAGATATATGTTAATAACACTCCAGTTGTCATACATTGTCATCAATTATAATGTACAGTCAAGGGTAAATAATAAGGTGATTATTTTGCATAAAAACACAGTTGTCAACTTGACCAAGTTTGGAAATCTGTCAGAGACTGATACGAAATTATGAACAGATTTTGCTATTTCTTAATTAACCTTTGTTGTATAATTTGCATTTTCATAATTTAAAGAATCGAGTTCAGATCATAACCTTTAGAGTGAAAATACATGTTTTTTCCTTTGCCAGTGTAGTTGGTACAGGTAAAGAAAATGTGAAGTGCATCTCCATCGTGGTAGCCACAAAAAACAGGTTGGATTCGCTGATATAAACATTTTAGGTCTGTCAGCATAGAAATCTACTTTGGTTATTATTTAGGTAGTTTGCAGCAATGATCGGATCTTCCACAAATCCATATATTGACACGTCATCTGCAAATGAAGTCAAAGGAACCATATATGGTTACTAATTATTATGATATTTCTTTCAGGTTTTAAAATAACCTAAATATTATGGAAAAAAATATGTGGCAAGTGTTAATTTGGAACCTACAATCGTAGTCTACCCTTTGAAACTGGCAGGTGAAGAATAAATCCCGTAACTGAAAGGAAATGACCTCTCTGTTTGTCATCCGACATTGTCAGTAAGTTCTAATTTCTTTTATTTGCGCATACTGGTAATTAATTTACAATTACAACTACATCAAACCAAATATGTATAAAATAACTTATGTCATTATTTAAAATTGTTAAGCCAGTCAAGAAGTAATATTAATACTGTATAGCATGAAATTGTACATTTTGTAACCTCACAATATGTCTTGAACTTAAAATATATCTGTACATATATATAGGGGGTACATGTTTCACATTGTTGTGAATATATAGTGTACAATTAATGCCGCTGTAAGCTGCCCAAGTGCAAAATTCAGTTATATGTATGGCTAATATGGACAGCACATCAACTCTCATTCATCCAATTCTGGTAAGAAAATACTAAGTTATATCGAATTGTTCTCAGACAATGTTATCTACCCATGTGTGGCCATGTGCCCAGCAAGGTATTATGCTGTTAGATGCTGTCCACTTGTCAGTGTTGAGGTAAGAGCACAGATCACTAGATGAGGATTTCTCAGTAATTATTGTATTGCTATCAAGCAGCTTAACAAACTAAGCTTATGTGAGGAACTCTTTGCATGAATGATTGTTTGGATAAAGTAGAGTGGACTATATTTGGGCAATCACTTTATCATGTGAAGAAAGTGGTGTGTTATTATTAATAAGGCAAGACTTTTAGGATATTGGTTTACTAATCCACCAATTGAGCATTGGACAGGAGTACTTGAAGACACATATTAGGGCTGCAACGATACAGGAAGGTCACGATACGATACATATCTCAATATTCTTGTCACGATATGATACTAATCTCGATATGCAACAAATGAAAAAAATCCAGGAACAGATAACAGTACTCCAGCTGTTATTTAGATCCAAGACTTAAAGCATGTCAAGATTGTTGAACCTTTCATGATTTTGGAACAGTCAAAAGTCTTTTATAATAGCAAGCCTACTGAAGTTGGTAAGTTTCAAAGTGGAACTTTCTCTAACTTTCCTTCAAAACAATTCAAATTTCAAAACAGCAGAAAACTTCAATGTGCAAACAGCAGAAAATAATCACTGTACTTCACAGTCTGAATAGTTCAACTTCAGGTTCAGAAAAATTAAAATGTCAGCATTGTAAAGTGACAGTGATGCCCTCTGGGTACTGACAGTGTCTCCTGCTGCTGAGTGTTAACAGAGAGGGGGTCGTAGGGGCTAGATGACCAACACAACAGTACATGCTCTGCCTACCTAACACGATCTACAATGTACATTTCACACGTTTTCTCCCTATCTACTGGTGATTCAGGTAAAAAGTTCCCAATGATACAAGTTCAAAGAATTTTGATGCAGTTGTCAGAATCCGAATTATTGTTTGATTGGGAATAATATATTTAAATGTCACGTTTTTCTATTTGCAGCTTTCACTATATATATTTAAAATTATTAGAACCATAAGCGTAGCACTTTGGTACAGCTGATTGCTATTGTAGGATATTTTTACGTATTGAACAATTAGATCAGTCACCGTAGGAACTTCATGTGCTGCATGTATTTCGGTTTGGAAACGTTATGTTGACATATAATAGTCAAATTGTCACAGATATTTTAACGAGTTAAAGTATGGCATTTATGATATATGTATCCATTCTCTGGCAACTAAAGTTCGTTTGAAGGTGTCAATAGTGGTAATCTGACCGTGGTTGCTTTAAATAACAGTGAGTTGTGAGATCTACCGATCACTTCACACACAATTTCGCCAAAAGTAATATAAGGAATTTTGAATGAAGTCTTGAATAAAATTAATTCAGGTGCCAGCAGTAATGACATCCAAGACAAACCTGGAGGATGTCGATGTGTCGTGGTACGCCTCCATCATCCACAACTGCATCCAGGAGGACAAGCTCAGCAAGCTCCGAGGCACCCTCAAGAAGTTCTCCAAAGAACAGCGCAAGCGGGTCATCACCTACAAGATCAATGGCAATGCACCTCTGTTTATGGCCTGCCTGCAGGGCAAGGTCCATATCGGGAACTACCTGCTTGATGAGTGCATGGCGGATGTGGAACAGAAAGGGGTGTACGAGGTGGAGGAAGACAGATCCAGGCACCAGGTGAACACCAACATTCTTTGGGGGTTTTAGTAGGTGAGGACACCTTGGGGATTCTGGGGTTAGATTAGGTCAACCTGTGTCGGTCATAAGAGGCGACGTAATGGATCAAGTTGACAACATGGCATACCCCAATGGCACGGATCATTTTTCAAAATATTGATCACTGGTGTGTCTAGACCAGCCTCATATATTTACAGGCCTATGTCATTTAGCTTGATTGTTGCTGAGTTCAGTGTTGCTCTTAGTATCAACCACTGGGTTTGTCTGTCCCAAACTTGATTAGGCAGTGGGATAGCCTTGTGGATAAAGTGGTTGCTTGTCGTACAGAAGGCCCAGGTTTGATTCCCTGTATGTGTACAATGTGTGAAGCCCATTTCTAGTGTCCCTTGGGTCACGGGTGGCCCAACTGAGCAAGGCACCCAATTCACTGTGCATCCTTAAGCATGTCTTTAAAAAAACGTAAAGTAAGATTGTGGTATTTGAATCCCGATTTGCTCTGATTATGTTTCATGGTTTGTAAGGACCATTCTCCTGCTCGTGGGTTTCACCAAAGTGGTAAACATCTAAGATATGTATAATTTTGGGCTTTCCTCCCACATAACACAACACGCAGTGAAATAACTGAAATACTGTTTAAATCAGCATTAAATGCAACTCACTCACTCAATTTTCTTTTTCTGTCACCAGGTAACTCCTCTATGGTGTGCAGCTGTAGCAAATCGGCTTGAAGTCGTGAAGACGCTCGTCCAACACGGAGCTCACATCAACAGCACATCAGACACAGACTCTACCCCAGTGCGTTCCGCATGCTACATGACAAACATCTCCGTGGTCAAGTATCTCGTGGACCATGGAGCCGACATCCACAAACCAAACATCAATGGGGGCACCTGCCTGATCAACTCTGTCCAGAGCTCTGAATTGTGCTTGTTCCTTATTAAGAAAGGAGCTGACGTTAATGCAAGAGATAACTCTGGAAATCTAGCCTTGCATTATGCAATACGCGAAGGGCGGTTAGAAACGGTAGAACTTTTACTGAAACACGGCTCCGATTACCGTGCCAGGAATGACTTCTGTGATGATTCTTTGCAGACTGCAGCATTGAGAGGTTATGGAAATATTGTCGATTTTATCATAGAAAACACTGTACAGGATTTGGTCAGTATGATTCATGCTTATGAACTTCTAGGCGCCAACTATGTTGATGAGAAGCATGATATTGCAGGAGGCCTGGGGATGTGGAAGAAGGCCATGGCGTTACGCATAGGTGATCCTCGGAACATTGTCCTCAAGGTCTTGCCCACCGACAGCCAGATTGCATATGACAATGCGAGGGAACCGCAGTCGTTTGAGGAACTTGAAGAGAAAGTTATAGATCCAGATTCTGTGTACATGCAAGCGTTGTTGATTCGAGAACGAATCCTGGGTCCAAATCACAAAGACACAACCTTTGGCTTGATGTACCGAGGTGCAGTTTACGCAGACACCCACCGATACCAGCGGTGTGTAGATTTGTGGAAGTATGCATTCCAACTGCGACACAAGAAGGTCGAGGCTCTCAACCATGAGTGTCTGTTCACGGTCCAGGCACTTGTCAAGCTGTTCTGGGAGATGCAGCTGGAGCTGGAATCAGGGGCGACGGATGAAAGAGTCCGGTTCGGGGATGCCCTTGAGGTATTTGACCTGCTCATTCAACACATCCGGAATGGAGTGCCCAAAATGGAAGATGAACCAGTTCAACAGACTGCTGAGGATTTCCAGCTCCTCATGCAGCTGTCCCTTCATCTGATCCATCTCTTAGCCAGACTTGAAGTCCCACCAGAAGAAAAACTGCCATTCAAGCGTCTTGTCCACGAGCTTGTTCTTCAGGATCCTAGGGGAACTGAACAAGAAAGTTTGCTTCATCTTGCCGTTGATCCCAAAATCAGCCTCACCAGTGAGGAGTTTTATTCTGCATTTCCAGCCTTGAGTGTTGTGCAGGTGCTCATCGAATGTGGAGCCAATGTGAACGCTGTTGATCAGAGAAGGAACACTGCATTATACAACAGTGTAAAGTTTCTCACATACACTGAGCTTCATGACGAGGGTATTCTGTACTGTTTGTTAAACCATGGAGCGCATGCCGATATGTGCAATAACGAGGGCCATAGTGCCCTTGACCTCCTGAAATCTCATGGGTATCCCATTTGCCCAATGGAATACTTATCTCTGAAATGTTTTGCAGCGCGAGTAATTAAGAAACATGGGATTCCTTATGAAGCAGAAGTGCCAGTTACTTTGTTACCGTTTATTGCTATACACGGATAGTGGTTGAATGTTCAGTCAGTTGTTGAATACGTTGAGTGTGTATTGTATATGCATTGTGATATTTTGACGTCTTCAATCAGTATTCATTATTTATTATTGTACATGAAGTCATGTCTTTGTTCCTGTTGTTTGAACTGCTATTGTTACCATCTTCCCAGGTTGGGATTCAAACACAGACTGTCATCAAGACTCCCTTGACCCATGGGTATAAACTATTTTAAAGATTGTTATATGGCAACTGAGAATGGAAACTGGGACTTTCCTTTTAAGTAGGGGTAGTGTTTGAATTGTCAACAACTGAACAAATAATGATAACATTATGGGATAAAGGAATCTCCACTTGCCAGTTGATACCTGCAACACTTGGAAGATTGCTTCAGTGCCTATTTTTTCATTACAATGCATAAATTAACACAATAAATTCCTACAGGTTACCATGGTTACAGATATGATTCTGGAGAGGAATTGGGCCCCAATGCCCCAGTGCTTGATATAAGAGTTGAGTCATCCTACTCCAACAAAGTAGATCGATGCTCTTGATAAGACTACATGAAATATTGACTGTTTTCACTGTATGACCTGGCTGATTATGTGTGACCATGCTCCATGGGCTGATTGTGTGTCATTGTATCCTGTCGGCATGTATTGTTGCTCGTTCTGTTGGTCATTGCCTGTCTTGTCCATTATTGACATCCAGCTGTGTGGATGTAATATTGTTGACTGCCTAAGAGAGCTACCTTTTGATATTCTGGAATGGGGGCAGGGAGAATAATTAATTTCTCTTTCCCCAAAAATGGATTGTTCGCTGGACATATTGGATGGCCTGAACAAAATGTGTTTCGATTTTTTTTTTAAATTTAGGCTCCTTTGATAGATACAAATTGTGTGTTTTGAAGTAGTGACCAAAAAGATAGTGTGTCTCTTACAAAAAGCCCACCCTACCATCTCATACACCACCCCACCATCTCACACACCACCCCACCATCTCACACACCACCCCACCACCTCACACACCACCCCACCATCTCACACACCACCTCACCATCTCACACACCACCTCACCATCTCACACACCACCTCACCATCTCACACACCACCCCACCACCTCACACACCACCTCACCATCTCACACACCACCCCACCACCTCACACACCACCTCACCATCTCACACACCACCTCACCATCTCACACATCACCCCACCATCTCACACACCACCTCACCATCTCACACACCACCCCACCACCTCACACACCACCTCACCATCTCACACACCACCTCACCATCTCACACATCACCCCACCATCTCACACACCACCCCACCATCTCACACACCACCCCACCATCTCACACCCCACCATCTCACACACCACCCCACCATCTCACACACCACCCCACCGTCTCACACACCACCCCACCATCTCACACATCACCTCACCATCTCACACACCACCCCACCACCTCACACACCACCCCACCACCTCACACATCACCTCACCATCTCACACACCACCCCACCACCTCACACACCACCCCACCACCTCACACATCACCTCACCATCTCACACACCACCCCACCACCTCACACACCACCCCACCACCTCACACATCACCTCACCATCTCACACACCACCCCACCACCTCACACACCACCCCACCACCTCACACATCACCTCACCATCTCACACACCACCCCACCACCTCACACACCACCTCACCATCTCACACACCACCTCACCATCTCACACACCACCCCACCATCTCACACACCACCCCACCACCTCACACACCACCTCACCATCTCACACACCACCCCACCATCTCACACACCACCCCACCATCTCACACATCTACATGACAGTCGTCATCACACTGTAGGCTACAGGAAGTGTACGTTGTAGCATTGATCATCCACATTACATGCTGTTTTCTGTGTGCATAACAAATCAAATGGGCTCAAGTAATATCCACTGCAAGTCCCATTGGATGCGGCAATAGAGTATGGATGTTGAAATGATTGAAACTAATTAAATTGGAGCATGTGCGTAAAACTGATCTGAGATGTCTGTTGTGATAAGAAATACAATCAGCGTTCAAATAGTCCATGTCCGATTTTCGTCTCTCAATCGCTATGTTTTGATTTGAACAAAATCCCTTTCTATTGTAAGTGTAAGGCATTACCCTTCAACCCTCAGGGTATAGAAATATAAAAATATACAGGCCGAAGTAAAACACCTGCAAGATCTCTAATCCCATTCACTGTATTTTGGAGTATTGGGGTGTTCGCCAGGTTGTTGAACTTTGAGTTGACCAGTCCTTGTGTTATCAACTTAATGGCCAGCGTCAGGCACAATAACAAGTACCACGTTTTAACGTTTCTTTGTAAGACTCTGATGGGAATTGAATCACTGACCTTGCACTCTCAGGGCAGATGCCGGGCACGGGTGGCCCAGTCGTCTAAGGCGCCACGATTCGCTGGGCAGAGTTGGGTCCCTTGGGCACGCCAGAAACCTATGATTGTGGGTTCGAATCCTGGTTCGCCCCGATTATGTTTCTAGGTTTGTCAGCACCATACCCATGCTCCTGGGTTTCGCGGAAGTGGTAAACGTCTGAGACCTGCATCACTTCGGGCTTTCCTCCCACATTAAGCTGACACGCCGCGATATAACTGGAATACTGTTAAAGGCGGCATAAAACCCAACTCACTCACTCACTCACTCACTCAGGGCAGAAGCACAGAGGAGATCTCTGGGCAGATGCACCATCCATTAGATCATGGAGGCAATCTCCATGATGACGCTCCATTCATTACACCATGGAGGCGGACTTCGGGCAGATGCTCTATCCGCTACACCAGGGAGGTGGTCTCCTGGCAGATGCTCTATCCGCTACACCATGGAGGCAGTCTCAGGGCAGATACTCTATCCGCTACACCATGGAGGCAGTCTCCTGGCAGATGCTCTATCCGCTACACCATGGAGGTGGTCTCCTGGCAGATGCTCTATCCGCTACACCATGGAGGTGGTCTCCTGGCAGATACTCTATCCGCTACACCATGGAGGTGGTCTCCTGGCAGATGCTCTATCCGCTACACCATGGAGGTGGTCTCCTGGCAGATACTCTATCCGCTACACCATGGAGGTGGTCTCCTGGCAGATGCTCTATCCGCTACACCATGGAGGCAGTCTCAGGGCAGATATTCTATCCGCTACACCATGGAGGTGGTCTCCTGGCAGATGCTCTATCCGCTACACCATGCAGGCAGTCTCAGGGCAGATACTCTATCCGCTACACCATGGAGGTGGTCTCCTGGCAGATGCTCTATCCGCTACACCATGGAGGCAGTCTCAGGGCAGATATTCTATCCGCTACACCATGGAGGTGGTCTCCTGGCAGATGCTCTATCCGCTACACCATGGAGGCAGTCTCCTGGCAGATACTCTATCCGCTACACCATGGAGGTGGTCTCCTGGCAGATGCTCTATCCGCTACACCATGGAGGTGGTCTCCTGGCAGATGCTCTATCCGCTACACCATGGAGGCAGTCTCCTGGCAGATGCTCTATCCGCTACACAATGGAGGTGGTCTCCTGGCAGATGCTCTATCCGCTACACCATGGAGGTGGTCTCCTGGCAGATGCTCTATCCGCTACACCATGGAGGCAGTCTCAGGGCAGATGCTCTATCCGCTACACCATGGAGGCAGTCTCCTGGCAGATGCTCTATCCGCTACACCATGGAGGCAGTCTCAGGGCAGATGCTCTATCCACTACACCATGGAGGCAGTCTCCTGGCAGATGCTCTATTGGCTACACCATGGAGGTAGTCTCCTGGCAGATGCTCTATCCGCTACACCATGGAGGCAGTCTCAGGGCAGATGCTCCATCAAATACACCTTGGAGGCTGTCACCTTGGGTTTGATTGCCCACATAAGTACAATCTGCAAAACCAAATTTCTGGTGACCAACGCTTTCATATTGCTGGTGTATGGCTGTTTTTGGCTTTCAACATTACTCTCATAATTAACATTTTGAGAAGAATAGACATAATTTCTATGATCCTGCAGATCAGGCAACGAAAGACTTTTTTGTTTGTTGGATTTTCTGACAAAAGGGAAGACCTGACACATCTCTTTTTCACTCCTCATAATAATAAGATGAAAATCAAGATGTGTCTTGAAGTAACATTTCAGCAAGTACTTTTAGTTTATGCCTCTGTTTTGCCTTAAGCAATAAATTGCGTACAGTAATATTCGGTGAAGGAATACAACTATTAGCATGTCTGTGATCATTAAGTTGTTATGGTAACCAAGGTTACGACATGTTATTTTTACAAACAATTGATTCATGAAAAAGTGTTCTTAAACATGTTCCTTTAGGCATGTTAACAAGCCAATAAATTTATAAGTGTAGATTTTTAGCATGAAGATATATGTACTCTAGCAAATTCAGCATGTGCAAAATGACATGAAAGTAATTAGAAAGTAAAGAGGCTACTGGTCAGCCATTTGAACGTATCTGATAGTTTTGTACCAATATTTCTAAGTTTTCTTCAACTTTAAGACATGATATTTCCAGCGGGCCATAATGGGCCTTTTACCTACCTCCCATTCAGTGTTGGTTTATAAATAGTCCTTCTTACACAGGAGAAATTCAATAACCAAAGGTCAAAATTCTGACACATATTTTGATATTTTTAATGAATATCAATGGATTTTTACCACTGTCCTTTAGGCCACTCGAAAAAAAATTCATTTCACAGACTAGCCACCCCTCCTGTAATGCAGCCAGTCTAAGAAATAATAAACACTAAATTATCTCCCGCTAGTAATATAGACCCTCTTATACAATAGAAAATGTTTTATGATTTTATATCAATTCCATGTATATTATCAGTGATTCAAGAGGCCACCTGAAGTTTTGACTCAACGGCAGAATGGCTTTCATATAAATAAAAAAATAATTGACATTTATTTTTATTGTTATTTTTATTTTGACCGACCTTGTGTGGAAAAGCTGGAATAAATCTGTTAAACATAAGAATTAAAAAGTGTGGCCTAATAAAGACATTATTGATGTTCACATGGTAAGCCATGGTTGTGAATGGCTCCGGGTGTGTATCAATTGAATACAGATGTAATACACTAGATAATAAAGGATGCGTTGAAAAAGGATTTAATTGAAATAAAATTCACCTGGTTTACCAGTTCATAATGGAGACTTGGTATGACAGAACTAAACTGTACTACTCAACTTTGACGGGGATATTAAAATACTTCATAAATTTGCCAGCCACAGAGCACTGAGCATGTCTGCAATGTTGTTTAAAAGGCACCGCAAAAATGACCGTTCCACAGCAATAAATACTCTCTGTGAGACAGCATCTAGCTGTCCAGCTGTCGGTCAGGTTCGTTCCCCACCTGGGTACTCCTATCAAAAGTTAATGTAGAATATTGTAATTTCAATGTTTATCAGGATTCCATTTACCAAACAATTTAAAAGTTAAAATGCTGTTTTTACATACATCTTTGTATTTGTGCTTGTGTGTTGTATTTTTTTTTTCAGGAGTTTTTTTTTCTCTGAGGAAATTGACCTCAAAACAACCCTGACTAAATATTTTCTCAGGATATTTCTCGTCATGGAAAAACTATATCTCCAGAAAGAGTTTCTCAGCTTGGAGAAAAGGATGGTCATGAAAATATGGTTGATGAGAGTTGTGTCCCTAGAGTACTGAAACAAGTTGTTGCGTACAAAATGCAATTGAATATCATTCAAATATTTATTTTAATCACATAATTCTCACACTTTGTTCTTTAGTTCATGTTATGTGACAAGTCATATATAGATACTGGAAATATCCTTTATTCTATGCTGCAAACTATTGCAATCTCATTAAGTCAGTTAATTTAATTCGATCTATACATCTCAGCTTGAAGATCTGGCAACACCTCCACAGGAGCCAGTCTGCATCAAGACATCTCAAGTCTTGGTAGGATCATTGAAGCATCCAGGTTT